CGCGGCCCATAGGTTAAGAATCTCTGCTTTAGTTCAACTCTTCGTGCACCTGCAGCTTCACAGGGGCGATCAGATGATTTATGAATCCATGTTTCTTACGATGCTGTTTGTCTTGTTCTTAGATATAAAGTACGACGCGGCGAAGGAGGAGCGTTACCAGCAGGAGCTGAAGCAAAGAGAGCTGCAGCGCATCGAGGAGGCTCTGCAGACCGCTGCACGCAGAAGTAAGACGAGCTGAGCTGCAGCTCCCGTCGGGTGTCCGTGTGCTTCCTGCTTCCTCACCTCTGTGTCGTCATGTGTGTGCTGCCTGAACTCTGCTCACCTGCCCATCCCACAGTGCAGACTCACTCTCTGAAGGAAAGTCCACCCTTGTGCAGTTTGGAGTTGTCTTTTTTAAAGCAGGACTTAATAAGAATGACCTGGTCTTTACCAGCTTCTAAAATGTTTCCAATGTAACGTCAAGCAGGGGCGGAGCCAGGGGGTGGCCAGGGGTGGCCRTGGCCACCACAGACAAACATTTGTCCACCCCTTTGGCCACCCTGCTGTACACAYCCCTTACACAGTGAAACAACCTTTAGGGTGTAATAATCCTCCTGAACAGTTGGTGGCAGTGTTTAACAGTTTGAAACATCTCCAAGCTCAAAGAAGTGACAAAGAAGTGATTGTTTTCTTTGTGTTATCTGACTTACGGTGACAAATGTTTTTGTTTTTTTGTCATCATAACACAGCGTTATTCTCTGTTATGAAGGCTGCATGATGCTCTGTCCCTTTTTGGTTATGAGTAGACCTATCACTAAATCAGAAAAAGTGAAATGCCCCCTTTATTTCACTGTTGGTGATTATCAATATTGCACCTGTTCATTGGGTACAGTTATTAATWCTAGTTTTAAACATGCAGTAGAAGGTCATCATTGTTTGGCACAATGTTGTGTTGAAATTAACAATAAGTCAATAAACAATAAAAAAGTAAAAAGCACCCCTAAAGTCATTAGATATGATAAATTGTGACACATTAATTATCCTTATCTCAGCTGTAGCAGTGAGTTTAAAACAGGATAATGAAACTAGTTTAATGAAGAATCTKTSTCTGAAATAATTATTAAATCAAATGTTTATTTATGTAGGTAAAAGTATGTTTAACAACCTGGTAAAATACACCAGAATGCAGGAAATGGTATTTATTTTGTTCAAAATTTTCTGGGGGAGTACCCCCAGACCCCTCAACATTGTGTCCCCCTACTTTTTTAAATGGTTCTGACACCCATGTTTATAAGGTAGACAGTGCCTGTATAAGAAATAAGGAAATGACAAAAACACAAAGATCTGTGGAAACTTTCAAGTAAAAATTTATGTAATTTTCTTGGCCACCCCTGTGTGAGTAGTGGTCCCCRTCTGGCCACCCCTGAGAAAAACGTCTGGCTCCGCCACTGACGTCAAGTGAAGACAACACATTCCACCGTGTTGTTCTTGACTAAACTGAAAGGGGGTGGAGCTTCCTTTGAGCCTTCGTTCTTCAACCTGTGGCTCACCTGAACAATAACCCTGCAGGTGAATTTACTAAYGTTCTGTCTGTCCTGTTCATGCTGCGTTTGCTGTCAGAGTCCCAAGATTTGCTGTTTGATCTGGAGAGTGTAGTTTACAAGGAACCACTCAGTGGTAACACACACTACAACACACACACACACACACACACACACACACACACAGTAACACACACACACAGTAACATCTGACACACTTTAACTATGTCTGAACATTATGTTTAAAACATGGTGAATGTGTGAGTGTTGGCGTGATGGTGAATTTGTGTGTGTGTGTGTGTGTGCTGCTTCCTTGTGTCTTTGTGTATTTCGGGCTTTTCTGTCACTAACTGCTCTCTCTTTGTTTAATGCTGGCAAAGTCCCAAAAGGACGTAAAAAACATAAAAAGATAAAAAAATCTTTAAAGAAGTTCAAAAGACATGAAAACAAAACAAAAACAGGTGAGTATTTATTCTCTTGTCTGGTATAAAATACATTCCCACTTTAAAAAAGTCGATTGTTGTGTCAAGTTGAACAAAATAGATGCAATTATTTACAACCCTCATAAAGCTTTATTTTATTCACAGTGGAACAAAGTAAACAYACTAAAAGTTTAAACCAAATAAAATACATAATTTTAAAGAAATGTAATGTAACTATGAATTTAATGGAAAKTGCATTGATCATTGTATGTACCTACAGTATAAAGACAATATTTGTCCAATACGTTGAACTTACCACACTTATTAGATGCACACATGTGGTGCAGTAGGCAGCAGATATTTAGGTGCCCAGGGGGCAGTTAGGGAGTTAATGTCTTTATCAAGGATATACAAGTTTTAGAAAAACTTAGAATCCCATCCATCCATCCATTTTCTTCCACTTATCCGGGGTCAGGTCTCGGGGGCAGCAGCCTAAGCAGAGACCCAGACTTCCCTCTCTCCAGACACTTGGACCAGCTCCTCTGGGGGAAACACAAGGTGTTCCCAGACCAGCTGAGAAACATAGTCCCTCCAGYGTGTCCTGGGTCTTCCTCTGGGTCTCCTCCCAGTGGGACGTGTCCAGAACACCTCACCAGGGAGGTGTTCAGGAGGCATCCTAACCAGATGAACCACCTCAACTGGCTCCTCTGGATGTGGAGGAGCAGTGGCTCTACTCTGAGTCCCTCCTGGATGACTGAGCTTCTCAGCCTATCTCTAAAGGAGAGCCCAGACACCCTGCAGAGGAAACTCATTTCAGACCCTTGTATCCACTATCTCATTTTTTCAGTCACTACCCAAAGCTCGTGACCATAGATGAGGGTAGGAACGTAGACCGACTGGTAAACTGAGAGGTTCACCTTCTGGCTCAGCTCTCTCTTCACCACGACAGACCAGTACAACACCCACATCACTGCAGATGCAGCACCAATCCGCCTGTTGATCTCCTGCTCCATTCTTCCCTCATTTGTGAACATGACCCAGAGATACTTAAACTCCTCCACTTGGGGCAGGACCTCCTCCCCGACCCGGAGAAGGCACCCTACCCTTTTCCAGCTCAAGACCATGGTCTCGGATTTGGAGGCACTGATTCTCATCCCGGCCGCTTCACACTCAGCTGTGAACAGCTCCAGTGAGAGATGGAGATCAGGATCTGATGAAGCCAACAGGACCACATCATCCGCAAAAAGCAGAGATGGGATCCTAAGGTCACCAAAAAGGATCCCCTCAACACCTTGGCTTCTCCCAGAAATTCTGTCCATAAAAGTTATGAACAGAATCGGTGACAAGGGACAACCTTGGTGGAGCCCAGCTCTCACCGGAAACAAGTCCGACTTACTACCAACAATGTGGACCAAGTTCTGGCATCGGTCCTACAGGGACCTAACAGCCCTTATCAATGGGCCTGGTACCTCATACTTCCGGAGTACCCCCCACAGGAGTCCCCGAGGGACACGGTCGAACCGAACGCCTTCTTCAAGTCCACAAAACACACGTAGACTGGCTGGGCGAACTCCCATGCACCCTCCAGGACCCTGCTGAGGGTGTAGAGCTGGTCGGCTGTTCCACGACCAGGACCAAAACYACACTGCTCTTCCTGAATCTAAGATTTGACTATCTGACAGACCCTCCACTCCAGGACCCCTGAATAGACCTTACCAGGGAGGTTCAGAAGTGTGATCCCCCTATAGTTGAAACACACTCTGTGGTCCCCCTTTTTAAATAGAGAGACCACCACCCCGGTCTGCCAATCCAGAGGAACTGGATAAACGTGTTGGTGGGATTTAGGAGGTCTTCCAAGTATTCTGCCTACCGACCCACAATCTCCCGAGTTGAGGTCAGCAGCGCACCATCCCCACCATAAAAAATGTTGGTGGTGAACTGCTTTCACCCCGAGACGTCGGATAGTGGACCAGAATCGCCTTGAAGCCGTATGGAAGTCTTTTACCATGGCCTCTCCAAACTCCTCCCATGCCCAAGTTTTTGCCTCAGCGACCACCCGAGCCGCAATCCGCTTGGACTGCCGATACCTATCGGCTGCTTCCGGAGTCCCACAGGCCAAAAAGGCCCGATAGGACTCCTTCTTCAGCYTGGTAGCATCCTTCACCGCCGATGTCCACCAGCGGGTTTGAGGGTTGCCGTCACGACAATGGAGATACGGAACATGGCCCACTCGGACTCAATATCCCCCACCTCCCCTGGAACATGTTCAAAGTTCTCCCAGAGGTGTGAGTTGAAGCTCCATCTGACGGGAGACTCTGACAGATGTTCCCAGCAGATCCTCACTAAACGTTTGGGTCTGCCAGGTCTGACCGCCATCCTCTCCCACCATCGGAGCCAACTCACCACCAGGTAGTGGTCAGTTSACAGCTTCGCCCCTCTCTTCACCCGAGTGTCCAAAATATGCAGCCGCAGATCAGATGAGACGACAACAAAGTCGATCACTGAGCTGCAGCCTAGGGTGTCCTGGTGCCAAGAGCACATATGGACACCCTTATACTTGAACATGGTGTTCGTTATGGACAATCCATGACGAGCACAGAAGTCCAATAACAAAACACCGCTCGGGTTCAGATCGTGGGGGGGGGAGGYCTTCTTCCCAACCACGCCTCTCCACGTCTCACTGTCATTGCCCACGTGAGCGTTGAAGTCCCCCAGCAGAACGAGGGAGTCTCTGTTAGGAGCGCTCTCCAGCACCCCGTCCAAGGACTCCAGAAAGGGTGGGTAATCTGAGCTGCTGTTAGGCTCATAGGCACAAACAACAGTCAGGACCCGTCCCCCCACAGATCCCATCTTACGTATTTCATCCTCCCTTAAGTGCAGATCTCTCACTAACTGAAAACGTTTGATGCATCATGAAACAAAGCATTCACTACAATAAAGACCCAAAACTTTTGAGCAGCTTGAATCCTCCATCAGACCAGACTGGGACAAGGTTCCCTCCAAAACCTTCAGACCTGGTTTCAGTTCCTGGATTATTACAGACTAAGGAGATGCTTCACAGAAACACGGACCAAACAACTTTTTTTAAATTATGGTAGCTGCTGTTATCAAATTCAATGACCTTTTTTAACTTTTAAATGTATATTTTTTATTTTACATATTTGATATGTGTACTATGTTCTACTGTGAAAAAGGCGAGTTTGTGGAATTTGTAAATCATTGCATTCTACGTACATTTACATTTTACATCATGTTCCAACTTTTCACAGAACTGGGACTGATGATCTGAATATTTAGCTGTGAGGACAACAGAAACAGGTTTTATTTAWTGAAGCTGGTTTGGTAATTTAGGGCTGCAGCTTGTTCTGGTTCCAGTTCAGGCCCTGGTCTCAGGCGTGTAACAGATCCAATCTCAGGTGTTTGTTCAGGTCCAGGTGTAACTGAACATGGTCCTTCTGGTGGTTCCAGACAAACCTGAAGATGAGAAGAAGGACACGTTTGTGGAGAAACTGGCCACTCAGGTGATCAAAAACCTGCAGGTGAAGATCAGCAGCATCCACGTGCGTTACGAGGACGACGTGAGTACTGGTCCAGGCTGAAGTCTTAATTCTGGCTCAGAGTGATGGAGGAGGCATCACATGGAGACTGGATTCTCAGCAGCTTTGATGTTTGTTTCAGCTGTCGGACCCACAGTGCCCCCTATCCATGGGAGTGACCCTATCAGAGCTCAGTCTGCAGGTATGTGCGCGCGCACACACACACACACACACACACACACACACACACACACACACACACACACACACACACACACACACACACACACACACACGTATAGATGCTGATCACAAGTTTATTTTCCTCTGTTTATTCTTCAGACCACAGATGAAAACTGGAAGCCGTGCATTCTGAATGACGCTGCAAAGATCTTCTATAAGGTGACAGATGCTCTGCTTGCTCTCACCTCAGACACCTGCTTGTGTGCCCATCTTCTCACATGTGGAAACTTCTCCTGTTCTTGTTTCAGAAAAGAAACAAGTGTYTGATGTGTGTTCTGTATTTCCCTCTAGTCACTTTGATGGTGCTGAACTAACAGACTTTAAAAACAACATTCAGATCTCCACAAACTGAGCTCACTGCTTTCACTAAACAAACACCTAGAAGTCCTGTTAAATCTCCACATCCTGTTTCAGTTTGACTTATACTGTGTGCTGACATGAAGGTAACTCTGAAATATGTCACAAACTCTGTGCTCACCAGTGGAGTGTCTGCAGTCCACACAGAGGAAACTGTGGACTTCCTCTAGCCTTCAAAATAAAAGCATTGCAAAAACCTTCTACAAAAGCTGACCTCTGGCTCTGTTCAGTTTGGGACAAGACTGAGTTTGCTGCTGTTGATAAAGTTGTTCATTTCTTTGTGTTTTTATTTTGTAAGCTTGGCCGCCTGGAGAGTCTTTGTGCCTACTGGAACGTCAACAGTCCAATGTACTACAGGCAGTCGTGGCAGGACATTGTGGTGAGCTGATCAGCTTCGTCTGGTGTCTTTTGTCCCCCATCATGAAGTGAAGAGGGGACTTAGAAAAATATCCTCCATCCATCCATTGTCTGAGCCAATGAAGGAAAAACTTGAGAAAGAAGCAACGAGCCACTTTCCATTTTGATGTTTAGCTGCATCAAGTCCACTGAAAGTTGGGTTGCAACATCATAATCCAAGATGGCTGCCTCTATATATGTCCATTCAATCTGTGAGCTGGATAACTAAAACAAAGTTACAAACTTCCATTTTGGCTTGTGGTTGCTTCTTGTTGTGAGAAAGACCACTATTGAAAATTGGGTTGCAWCATCAACATTTCAAGATGGCCACCACCATAAATGTATTTAAACCAGCCAGCCCAATAGTTTTTATATAGTTTAAAACTATAGTTTTCTCAAATGTTTGGGTCAAAAATAAGCAATGTGATAACTTCCATTTTGGCGTGTGGCTGCAAGTCCACTGTTGAAAATTCAAAATCCAAGATGGCCACCAACCCTCATCTCAAAAATGATAACTATTCACTTTTCAAATCCTTCAGCAGCGGGTAGGATTTGTGTACCGCTTGTTTAATACCCTTTAACAAAGCTACTTTAAGTTTTTAAACATTCCGTCTATGTTTTTGTGTAAATAATGATGAATACATAACACCGCTCCTCCTCATCCTCTCCTGCAGGCTCAGCTGAAGTCTGGGATCAGTGGGAAAGTCCAGGAGCTGCCCCACTATCAGTACAGTGAGTCCAAGTCTTTAAATCATAAACAGAAATAATGTTGTTCATTTAAAGTGTTAAAACTGAACCCATGAGTCAGAACAGTGTCTCTTCCCTCAGATGTGGTGGATTTTAGTGGACAAAAGTGGAGCATAGTGGACCATAGTGGAGCATAGGGGATTTTAGTGGACCATAGTGGGGCAAAGTGGATCATAGTGGATTTTAGTGGACTGCAGTGAATTTTAGTGGACCATAGTGGATAATAGTGGAATTTAGTGGACCATAGTGGATCATACTGGACCATAGTGGATCATAACAGATTTTAGTGGATCATAGTGGACCATAGTGGATCATAGTGGACCATAGTGGATCATAGTGGACCATAGTGGAGCATAGTGGATTTTAATGGACCGTAGTGGATCATAGTGGACCATAGTGGATCATAGTAGATTTTAGTGGACCATAGTGGATCATAGTGGACCATAGTGGACCATAGTGGATCATAGTAGATTTTAGTGGACCGTAGTGGATCATAGTGGACTGTAGTGGATCATAGTAGATTTTAGTGGACCATAATGGATCATAGTGGACCATAGTGGATCATAGTAGATTTTAGTGGACCATAGTGGATTTTAGTGGACCATAGTGGATTATAGTGGACCATAGTGGATCATAGTATATTTTAGTGGATCATAGTGGATTTTAGTGGACCATAGTGGATTTTAATGGACCGTAGTGGATCATTGTAGATTTTAGTGGACCATAGTGGATCATAGTGGATTTTAGTGGACCATAGTGGATCATAGTAGATTTTAGTGGACCATAGTGGACCATAATGGATCATAGTAGATTTTCGTGGACCATAGCGGATCATAGTGGATTTTAGTGGACCATAGTGGATTTTAGTGGACCGTAGTGGATAATAGTTGATTTTAGTGGACCATGAAGGGTCAGAGTTATTTAAAACTTGATAATTTAATATATTTAGATAATCTTGACCAACATTCCTTAAAGAAATGCATTTCTCTAACAGCTACAAACACACAAACACAGAATCTTGTTTCTGACATTGTTTTGTTAAATTCATTCCTCTCTTCAGTCTTCAAGCCCATTTTTGCTTCTGCTAAAATCTGCATCAACCCCGCCGCTGAGGTGCAGCTAAAATCTCCGAAGGCTGACTGTCAGCTGGAGGTCCAGAACATTGCCATCGAGATGACAAAGCCACAGGTAACAGGAGACACAAACCAGGGGGTGGAGACAGGTGGAGACAGTCATGTCCCCTCTATGTCCTCTGCAGTACCTGAGCATGGTGGATCTGCTGGAGTCCATTGACTTGATGACCAAGAATGCCTCCTACAGGAAGTTCAGGCCTGACGTTCCTGTCCATGAAAATGCCAAACTCTGGTCAGTTTCATCTGTTTCCCTCAGTTATTAAAGTTTTTTGATCCAGTGATGATAAAAAGCTCGACACAATGTTGTGTTTGACAAACAAACGTAACCAGATTTAGAAATTTAGCCAAATATTTATCTTTAAATTCTCTGACCTCTCGTAAAACAAGAAACCAAAGCATTAAGGACTRAGGAAATGGATTTTTATGGAAGTGAGACCTGAACAGGGTCTGAATGTGATGTCTGGYTGTGTCCTGCCTTGGTCAGGTGGAGGTACGGGTTCAACAGCATCATGGAGGTCCACATCCGACGCATCAACCAGATGTGGACCTGGTCCAACATCAGACGTCACCGGGAGAACCTGAAGGCCTACAGGATCGCCTACAAGACCAAACTGCTGAGCCAGAGTAAATCAGCACCCGACATWGAGCAACAGGTCCAGGTGAGTGGCCGGCGAGGTCCGATCCAAGTCCATACAACCAACAAACAGCTCTGACCCAATCCCAGAACAAAGATTGTTCAGTTTTTGTCTACTTCAGCATCTTTTACATGTGGAGTCCCACAGGGTTCAATTCTGGGATCACTTTTACTTTCATTGTACTTGCTTCTACTGGGGTTTATTATACAGAAGCAGGGTCTTTCCTTTCATTGGTAAGTTGATAATTGTAAAAATAGTTCTGCAGTCATTCACATATAAGATAAACAATTTTGGTCCAAGTATAGAACCCTGAGGAACTCCACATGTAATTCCACRTAGTTCAGATCTGACATTATGTATTTGTRCAAACTGTTTCCTATTTTCCAAATAACTAGATATCCACTGTAATGCTGGTCCTCTAAGCCCATATTTCCATATTTAATGTAGTTTTTCAAGGAGAATGCTGTGATCATTCGTGTCGAATGCTTTCTTAAAGTCAACATAAAAACTGGTGCAATATTGTTTTTGCTCAATAGCACTTGTTGTTTCTTCTAACAGTTCCATGAGGGCCATTGATGCCATTTGTTTTTGTGCTTTGTTATTCCTGATCCCCTGACTGCTTGTATTTCTGTCCACCCAGGATCTGGAGAAGGTCCTCGATGTGTTCAACATCACTCTGGCCCGACAGCAGGCCCAGATGGAGGTAACCCCAGCGTCGCTGCTCTTCACTCTGCAGGTTCAGCCTCAGTCCTCTCACTGCAGACGCTCTTATTGAAACCCCCTGCAGGTGATCCGATCGGGGCAGAAGGTGGCTGGGAAGAAGGCAGGAGACCAGAAGCAGGGAGGGGGCTTCTTCAGCGGCTGGTTCGGATGGAAGGGGAAGAAGGAGGAGCAGGAGCTGGAGGAGAGCAAGGAGTCAGAGGGTGAGTGACTCCACCCAGCCTGATGYGTCCCTCTCACTCAGTTTACTGATGGAGTCTGTTGATGTTCAGGTTCAGGTCTGGACCAGCTCATGACAGCCGAGGAGAAAGAAAAACTTTATACTGCTATTGGCTACAGCGGCAGCTCCCACAACCTGACTCTGCCCAAACAGGTAGACACACCTGCAGCCATTGTTCTTTTCGATTAGAGCTCGGGCTCTTCTTAAAGGAATGCATGTCGCCTGCCAAACTAAAACCAGCTCATGTTAAAAACTGATGGAGGAAGAATCAGTTTGGTTAAATATTGAAAATAAAACATATTTAACTAATAGCAACTACTAAATAAAGTGCCTGTGACATCAAATTTTTGTAATAAATATGAATG